CCCCCATTCGTTCCTCCAGTCAGCGCTAGAGGATCGGAGCCGGTGAATCCCTGCAGGGAGCCGTGAGTGACAGTCACGGATCTCTGCAGGGACAGGATCGAGAAGTGAGCGAGGGACAGTATGTGTTCGCTCACTTCCCGATCTATTGATCCGACGTGTGACAGTTTCATTGTCGCACGTCGGCTCGAACTATAAGGTTGAGTGAAAATCACTCACCTCATAGTTCTCCTTTTAGGTTCTTTTCTTAATATAAATTGGGGTACAGACATGCTCTTTGGATATGTGCATTTATGGTCCATTATGTTTGCCATGTGGTGATCGGATTGCCCCTGATCCCCTGGCAGAGCTGACCACACATTACAATCTGATCATATAATCTCTTTTAGATTGTATAAATGTAAGTCCTCTCTGAACAACCCATTTAGGTAATATCCAGTCAAGTAGGCCCTGAAACTTGTTTATAGTTGTAGGTAAATCTATAGGAGATTGTACAAATAGATTTGTGTGACTGACTTTAGAATGCATGCATGCATGCAATCAGAAACTTACAATCCACCAAAGAAACTATATTGGTGTACTCAAGCATATGTTGAGTGTTTTCAGGCAGGGGTGGACAAATTAATAGGGAATTCAGGAGCCAGTCTGTCCAATCCAGTGGAAAATTAGATACATTGTGGATGCTTTTTGAGGATTTAAAACCAGCCATGTGACTTTCAATACATACCGGTAAATTAGTGATGGAGAATAATCTGGGTGACCTTGTAGACCATGGGTAGCCAAACTCCGGCCCTCCAGCTGTGGTGCAACTACAATTCCCATGAGACATTGCAAGATTCTGACAGCCACAGATATGGCTCGCAGAGGCCAAGGCATCATGGGATTTGTAGTTTCACCACAGCTGGAGGGCCGGAGTTTGGCTACCCCTGTTGTAGACCATAGACCATAAAAGCATGAAACATAAATCTGCAGCTCATACCAACCAAGGTACTTTCTTGAACTAATAGAGACATATTCTCAAGAGATGGGCATCGTACTTTCCCCTTTTCAAAGCATTAGTAGGCCCTTGTCCTAAATATGTGGTTTAATTTTTGGCAACAGTTAAAAAATAAAGGATAATCTTGAACATAGATCAGTGCAGAGAAGGCCAGCTAAAGGAACACAGTGGAAATCTGTTTGGTTTAATGCCTCCATAAATGACTTGAGGACATCCCGCACCACGTGATGAAAATGGGATTAACCTTGGAATTCGGAAAAGATGTTTTATTGTAAGAGATGCGAAAATGTGGAAAGAATCTTTCATAAAAACTGTTTCCACCAGATATAGTAGATTGCTCCAAAAAAGTATTAACATGCCTAAAAGCACAAAATCTAATCCGCTATAATTAGTTGAATAATCTTCCAGGGTTTTAACTTATGGCCTTTAGGGTTAAGAAAGGTTTTTTTCCTTGTTAAAAAAATGGGCCATTCTTTATATGGGGTTTTTGTCTTCTTGTGGATCAACAAGGGGTAGAGGTTCTGAAGTTGTTATTTTGATTGTTTTCCTGCCACTGATTTTAGGTGCCACTTGACTTTTAAAATGGTATGGTATTTTTTCATTTTTAATGGTTATATTTTGAATCTTCTAATGGTAAATTGAAGGTGCTTTTCAGGGTATTTTTATGCCCCAAGCTATATTTGTCACAACAAGGACATTGCAATCTGTTCTCTTACTAAATAGTCTGAATCTTTCAGGAGAGGTCAGATGTGTTCGTGTTTAAGCTTAACCTGTCTCACTTGTTAGCTAAAAAATGTTTACTAGACTTGTGCATATTTCTTATATTACTATACATCGATCAACCATAACATTATGACCAGCCACCTAACATTGGGTAGGTCCCCCTTTTGCTGCCAAAACAGCCCTGACCCATCGAGGCACGGACTCCAATAGACCTCTGAAGATATGCTGAGTTATCTGGCACCAAGCTGTCAGCAGCAGATCCTTTAAGTCATGTAAGTTGTGAGGTGGGGCCTCCATGGATCGGACTTGTTTTTCCAGCACATTCCACAGATGATTGGATTGAGATCTACAATATGTTTGAGGTGTTGGAATTGGGAGGCCAAGTCAACAGCTCAAACTTATTGTTGTGTTCCTCAAACCATTTTTGCAGTGTAGCACGGCATACTGTTGAAAGAGGCCACTGCCGTCAGAGAATACCGTTTCCATGAAGGAGTGTACTTAATCAGCAACAATGTTTAGGTAGGTTTTATGTGTCAAAAAGCCCAAAGCATCACACTGCCTCCACCAGCTAGCTTTCTTCCACCGTGATGCACTGTGTGTTCAGACACCTTTTTATCATAGCCAGCCTAAACATTTTCAGCAATTTGAGCTACAGTAGCTCTTCTATTAGATCCGACTACATGGGCCAGACTTCACTCCCCACGTGCATCAGTGACCCTTGGCTGTCCATGATCCTGTCACCGGTTCACTGGTTTTCCTTCCTGGGACCACTTTTGGTAGGTTCTTATTACAGTTTTGGAGTTGATCTTACCCATTCATCTAGCCATCACAATTTGGCACTTGTCAAAGTTGCTGAAATACTTACACTTGCCAGTTTTTCTGCTTCCAACACATCAACTTTAGGGAGGGACAAAATGTTCACTTGCTGCCTAGTACATCCCACCCACTTCCAGGTGCCATTGTAATGAGATAACAAATGTTATTCCCTTCACCTCTCAGTGGTCATAATGTTATGGCTGATTGGTGCAGTTCGTCATTTATTCATAAATTACATTTTTAGATTGTAAGCCCTCAGGCGCAGGGCCCTCCTTACCATATTGTCTTGAATTGTATTGTGATTGTAATGTCCTCCTCATATTGTAAAGCGCTGTGCAAACTGTTGGCTCTATATAAATCCTATGTAATAATAACTACACTTTGAGACCAAGAACCTGACTCAGGCAGTGTTTAATTAGGTCTCTCGCTGCTGAAAAAAACTGAAAGTTACTCTCTCCAAGTTCAAGCCCCTCCAAGCTCTAACCTGAATGAAACACATAATTCTAACATGCTACCTACACCCAGTACTTAACACTTAGCCTTCCCTTAGCACTTAAAGAGACCCTGCCACCAGCCCACTAATTTCAATGACAGTCTTTCCATAAATGTATATGTGCATTTCACATATTTTATGCATGTTATTTATTTGTAAAAGCCTCCCTTGTTTAGACATCCAAAAGCCCTGAGACTGTGGCTGAACGCTGCTTATTTGATGCAATGTCAGCAGCCCCAGCAGATTTAGAGCTGCCACTCAAGTAGCACTCTATAGTATTCCCCTTTGCTCCTCCACCAGCAGCTACATAAAATGTTGTGTAGGGGAGAGGAAGGGGCAGAGGAGCCGGGCCAGCACAGAAAGTGTGAAAAACACTCCCAGAAGAGTACCTTCAAGGAGAGAGGGACTGTGATAGTTTATCTTATTTTACTCATATTTACTTGCATCTCCCGGAGTATATACACAATGCTTTATGATCGTAACCAATGCACAGATATACTGACTTTGTCACTCAAACCTATTTGAAATATATTTATCAATAGCCACAAAGGATATTATTCTGTTTTATGTGAAAAAACGGCGTGTACAAAAATAGCAAAAGGGTTACCATACACAGAATAGATGCTGGGCACCAAGTGACCAGTGGAAGAGGAATCATTGGGGAGTAAATTCCCTTTATCAAGGTCAATCCCGCCTCCACTCACCCACCTATAAAAAACTACAGGAGGGGCGGATATAAGGCCAGTCACCCTGCACAAGGAGAGAGAGCAGCAGTGAGTGGTCCTTATTACAGGAAGCTCCTGCGCACTGGATTACTGCACAGATCTGGAAGAAATACACAAAGCACACCAAGATTAAAGGAAGAATACACGTCTCTTGTATGTAGACATTGTTTGCTTATATCAGAGTTCAGCTTTAAGATAATTCCACTCCAAATTATACATGTCCGTAGCTTACATTGAATAACCAATTTGTGTTATACATCGACACTTCCTTGGCACTAAAAATATAAATATTTTTTGTAAACATTAACTATTAGCAGTTCCTTTTATTATCCTTTTGCATTTTCTGCACTGGGGAAAGTGGGAATTGGATTAAAAAAAACACTGTTGCCTAGGGCTGATATTGGAGTCTGTTCACTTACATAGCGCTCACATCCACTTGATCTAAAATACAAATTGTGCATCGGTCCTCACCTCATACATGATCCAGCTATAATCTGCATGCCTGTGTCATATAACATATTGTTGTAAATTATGATTGAAGTAGATATATTAGGGGTGTATTTCGGGTGTATGCTTAAGTAAATAACAATAACAAAATCTTATCCTAAATGCACCTCTAACACCCTGCCAGCCCTTCCCTCATCATAATCTGCCATAATAGCTTCCATATACCTCTCCTGCACATACGGCTTCTGTCCTATCCTTTGCAATTATCTCCTGTACGCACTGGCCCACTGTCATACCCCCAACACGCCTTTCATACTACCTGCCATCTATCCATCTATTCATACTACCTACATTTTGCCTGCTGTCATACTGTTCCTCTCTTACATGTACTATCCACTACCTCCCCTATTCTCTCCTGCACATACTGGTTGCCTTCATGCTCTCTAAACTCTTCTCTTGCACATTTTGCAGTGTCCATTTAAATAGAAGGTCTGCTTTAATAAAGGTGCAACGCTTAAGCACCTTGGTCAAGATGTTTTTACAAAAGAAAAAAATGACCATTGCAGAAGTGCATTCTTGTGGGAATTCTCAGCACCCAGCTTTCCCATGAGGTAGGGATATGGCAATGAGGAGGCACTGTGATGCCTCCACAATTCATCTGCCCAGGTAAGTTTTTTTTTTTTTTCTTTTTTTAGACATCTTTTTTGACAGGAGGGATAAATGATGGAGTCTGGATTTACAGTTTTATGTTTGATGGCACAGAAATAACTCCCTTAAATTAACTTTTTTTTTCTGATTTTAGGAGTTGCAGGCATTTCTTCAATTTGTGAATTCCCGGCCCCCATACGATATTGTGGTGGATGGGCTGAATGTCGCATACAATTCCAAAAAAGGAATTTTCTCCCAGACCGTGAGTAATGACTAACTGTGAATGTGCACACTGATAACTGATGTGAATGTAAAGCGCTGTGTAAATTGTTGCCGCTATATAAATTCCTCAAAAAATGGTTATAACTAGGGATGCACCGTCCGCGAAACACATTGGCCGAAAATGGCACTTTTGGCAAAATGCCAAAAGTGCCATCTTTCGGCAGAAACTGTGGTGCATCCCTGGTTTCTCTCCTCCCACTGGGCGCTACTCTGTGTCCCCTCTGACACAGCGCAGTGTCCAGTGGGGAGTAGGGAAACTGTCACAGGAGGCCAACCGGTGCGGGGGAGGAGAGTGTTGTGAACACGCGGCGTGTCACAGTAGGCTGAGCGGGGGTGGTGCGGGAGGAGAGCCCAGCCTCCTGTGACATGCGGGGTGACAGATTAGGAGAGTGAAGTGGTAGCGGAGACAGCTGTTAGTGCTGTCACAGGAGGCTGAGTTCTTCTCCCGTGTTCTCCTCCCTTCTCCTGTGGCAGATCAGGGGAGTGGCGGTGTGGGGGCAGAGACAACTGTCACAGGATGCCGGGCTGTTTAGACCCCTAATATTTCTCCGAAGCCCCAACAGTGTAGTAAAAAAAAAATTTAATAAAACAAATAATTAAAATTAAATATTTGAAAAGGTTAGAAAACAATGTTGTTTTCCGTTTCGGCCTGACATTTTTTACATTTTCGGTTTTGAACATTTCATTTCAGTGCACCTCTAGTTATAACCATAGTGATCAGTCACCGTCAGATGTTTCTTTGTGTAAACTTACACATTATAGAGTATTTATTTGTCATTCATACACATAAATACAAAAATAAAAATTCCACTTAAGGCCCTCTGCACACCTTGTGGTCATATGCATGAAGACACATCATGTTATTGTTCAATGTATTAGAGCAGCCGATTGATTTGAAAGGCATATCAAAGCTCCACAATGGACCAGAAGTCACACCTGAGCCATATTTGCTGATGCAGCGCACACAACGTAAGGTGGGGTAGAATGGTACTGCTGTTGTGGTGTGGAGAACCTCGTGTGCATCAAGTGTCTGCTTGTATAGTGCGTTAGGGTGCCATACTGCACTGACATATGTGTCTTATGTGTGTTAAAACATATGGTACTTTGAGCGTTAACATACCATGTTACCACAACACATACTGTATGTGAAGCCAGCCTGAAAGTATTATTGTCAAGAGTAAAATATATAGGCTGCCATTGCTATGCTACTGAAAATGCTGGCTTCCTTGTCGTCTAGCACAGCGGTCGCCAACTGGTGGTCCGCGAGAACATTTTGGTGGTCCCTGGGCCCCTCTGATGCCGTGCAGGCTGGGCCTTCATTAAAGTGGCACAGAGGCTCCGGGGCTGCCTCTTATATATATATATATTTTTTAAATTCATATTAGTGGTCCGCGGGATTTAAAATGATGCATTTAGTGGTCCATGAGGTCCGAAAGGTTGGCGACCGCTGCTCTAGCAAGATGGCCAGCTGTTCCTCTACCAAGATGACCACCTCCATACAGATACACAATACAAGGTATGGTAAGTCAATAATGGGGAAGGATGAACTGCAAGGAGACCATACACAAAACTGGTGACTAATCCTTTGCCCTTCGCTTGCTTTTTTTTTGAGGACTCCTCCCATAGCTTAGATTAGGGGCAGGCAAACTTCGGCTCTCCAGTTGTCATGAAACTACAAGTTCCATGAGGCTTTGCAAGACCCTGACAGCCAATTCTCTTGCAAAGATCACCTGGAGAAGTTTTCTTCTGTCGACAAAACTGTTTCACTGTAACCTGTATTTTCCAAACTTGTGAAATGGTAGAACTTCTAACATCCTTATTACTCAGTACAACTGACTATGCATTCCACTGCGTTTATACTGCATAGCTGACACATTATGCCACAAGGAGATCTGAATCCATGATTTATTGTTATGAAAAACTTCCAGTCGCTCTGGCAACAGGCAGTGGTTCTGCAGCATTCTATCCTTTGTGTGTCAAGTCCGTGTCTCTTTACATGAACTAAGCGTTTCTTGCCACAGACGTCAGTACTTGGATAATACCTGTACAGGAGAGGTGAGCCGTGCTCACAAGGCAGTGACGTTGGATTGGTGAAGGAAATCCCTGCACGCAATCATTTAATCGCGGTTTCACCATTATGCAAGCTGTATCATTACATTAGAGTCATCTGTAGATGTTTATTTTCAGGGATTGTTGTATCACTGCTAAAACAAATATAAAATGATGCACTAAGGACATGATGTGTATAGTTCATCCAGGCAACGGCAGTGTTTGGGATTTTCTTTGTTGTTATATTCATTATTATTCCATGTGAAATCTGTATATCCATCCAGCAAGAAAGAAGATAATTAGGCTCCATTTACACCTAACCGAGACCTATTATGTGCCTTTTACGCACATTTTTCTGTTAGCGGTTTTTATGCCCGTATGTTAAGTTGCGCATTTTTATGAGCAGATTATGGCACATTCATGTAAATGGGCAAAAACGTGCAAAAATAATTGCAAGGTGCGTTTTCTATTGAGTCTATGGGGACAAAACGCGCTGAAATCTGCTTAAGGCCCCTTCACACCTAAGCTGTTTGTTGCACGTAAATCAGTGCGACAAACAGCTCAACATTAGGAATCCCATTCATGTCTATGACCCCAGTGCACATGTCAGCGTTTTGTCGCAAGCAGAAATACGCCTGTACATATACATGCGCTACTTTGGGGCTGATTTCAGTACGTTTTGTCCCATAGACTCAATAGGAAACGCTTGAAAAACGTGTGTTGCGATTATTTGCGTGCGTATTACGCATTGGCATGACTGTACCAAAATCTGCTCACAAAAATGCCGGACTTAACATACGCGTAAAAAAAGACGTGCGTAAAATGCGCTGAATAGGTGTCGCTTAGGTGTGAATTGAGCCTAAAAGTAGCTCATGCAGGGACGTCCCAAGGCTGGGTGATACCCGGAGCAGTAACCAAGTGTCACCCCGCCGAGACGTCACTGCGAATGCGCGTGATGTCATCGCACACTCGCGGCAGTATTCTGATACCTGCCGCCGGCCATCTTGGTGATGGACGCCAGCAGAGAGAGGAGGGGACAGTCACCCGGCGGAATAAGGTATGCCGCCGGGTCCTCTCCTGATACTGTCGGGCGTTCAGTCCATGACCGAGCGCCCGACTTTTCAGAGGGGGGTGACACCAAAATGACTGTGAGTCATTTTGGTGTCACCCCTCCAATGGTGTCACCCGGGTGCGGGCCACACCCCCCTTGTGACACCACTGAGCTCATCTACTATTTTGAGAGATGGGCGTATTTCTGCTTGCGACAAAACTCACAGGTGTGAATGGGGGCGATAGGAATCAATGGGATACCTTGGGTGGAGCGCTTTGTCGCGCTTAGCCTGGAGCGACAATATGCCTAGGTGTGAAAGGAGCCTTAGGGGTTTCAAACCGGAGGAGTGCGAGTAGTTGGAAAATAATGTCAAATAAAGGGGTTGGCGTGTGTCATTAATCGCATGGCAGTAGCTTTAAAGCTAAACTCCGGGATTACACAAAAAACATCCTTGCAGTGAACCCCCATCCCAGACTGCAAGGGTTAAATGCCCATTTAGTCTAGGGGTAGAGGGGTAATATTCATCTTATTCCTTCGCTTTGGTGCTCTCATCTCCAATGCTCTGGGTTGTTGCCACGTACGGGTTGTCACGTACAATGTGGGGATATGGGACCTGCATTGTACTTGATGATGTCAGTTTGCGACCATCAGCTATAGCAACTTAGAGGAGAGGCTTCGGGGGACTGGTCACACAGTGGAGGCAGTGTACACAGTTGAAGTTCACATATATGCAATGTCTTATCTGCCAAAGGATTTCTAATTTTTCCCGAGCCTTTTTTTTTTTACCCTTAAACGTCTACCAGACAACATAGTCAGGTGGTGCATTGGGGTACCATTCATTTAGGGGGGTAACATACCCACATTGCAGTGCACCACAATGCACGTGTTGTGCATTGTGGCGTGCTGTGTTTAAAAAAAGGGTCATGTCCATTTCTTTCATTTAAGGTGCCCTGCCAACAAAATTCTTCCCATAAGATATGTGCATTTGAATGGGGGGAACAATCAAATGGTCTAAGACAATGTTCTATTCTGTACTAAATAGTAAAGATATGCTCGTTCATAGTGTGAATCAGGAAGATACCACTTTATGGCCACTAGATGGCGCAGATGATCATGGGAAATAATTCCATATTAGTACCAATTGATACAATGTAAAAATTCTAGAGACTAATAAATGTAAACATTGCTACTATGGGATCACTATAATAATATCTATTTGCTATTTCCTTCCCTGTTTTTTTTGTCCTCTACTCCTACCCAGGGGCGTATCTGTCGCGAGGCAAACAAGGCGTTTGCCTCGGGCAGCAGATTCTAGTGGGATGGCAAAAATGCCGCCCCCAAAACATTTAGGCATCCGGGCTGCACAGAAACCGGCAGCCGGGCTGCACAGAAACTGGCTGCCTAATGTTAATGTTAATGGGAAGGAAGCGGCGGGCGAGCAGGATGAGACGCAGGATGGATCGGCAGGAGGCAGGGGGTGGAGATAGAGGAGATGGTGGCGGAGATGGAAGAGGCAGTGTGAAGACTGAGGAGACGGAGCGGCAGGAGTCAGTGGGCGAAGACAGGGGAGATGGGGCGGAGATGGAAGAGGCGGGGCCGAAGACTACAACGGCGGAAGGCAAGAGCAGAGACCGCGATGGAGGAGGCGGGATGCGTCGTCGATGCTCGGGCTGGGTTTACCGTGCCAGGTAGGAGGACAACTGTGCTGGCAGGGCCCAGCATAGGTTCTACACAGCCCACCACTCGCAGGTGGGCTGTGCAATACCTTTTGGTGGGCTTTGCAGGATCCGTATGGGGCTCTCAGGGGGTCTCTGCATGAT